ATCAGTTACCCTTAGAGGCCAAAAACATACAAGCAAGTCTCCCATTCATGTTGAGGGGAAGTTTTGGGTACTAGCTGTCAGAGTTTCACCCCGCCTTATCTTAAAGGCTTCTTTCTAACTCACTGAAGACAAATAACACAGGGTGTTGGTGGGTGTGTGTTTACATGAGGGTGTGGAGAGAACACAGGGACTTTGGGGAGCAGCCAATTTGGTGCAGTTTGGGAATGACTGCCTTGTACAGCGCCAGCCTGAAGACTTTCCTTCCTCTGGGTATTTTAATAAGAGTCAAAGCAAAAATAAAGGTGGCTGCGTTCCCTCTTTGGTGATGTCTCCGATCTGGAAGCCCTTGTGCTCTCCTGGGTCCCTCCGCGCCACAACGGACGTCTGTGGGAAGGGACCCTGTGTCCTTCGATGTCAACGAGTTTCCTCCCTATTTTGAGCCTGGCATGCTGGAGCCCTGCTGCCAGGAGCAGCCAGAGAACTGACTTCCCCCTCCTGAAGAGTCTGAGCTCTGGGAAAGTCTTCCAACTGGGAGCTTCCTAGGGATTGCTGACCCGACAGTGTCCACCGTTGAGGGGAGAATAATTGTGAACATCTATGCTGGCTTGTTTTAAAAAGCTAAGCAGCTGGCAGCGGGGCGTGCCTGTGGCGGGGCTTGCAGGTTCCGCAGCTGTGCAGTGCCTGTGGCCGGTCTTGCAGGTTCAGCAGCTGTGCAGTGAGTGCGCTTCTGGGCTGCAGGAGTGGGGCAACCACGCCCCTCGGCCAGGTGTGGCTGGAGGCCGGGGAGGAGGAGGGCGCCCTCTGGTGGCCGATAAGGAGACTGCCTGCGGGGCCCGGGCACCGGGAGGCTGGACTTTCTCTGCAAAGAGCCTTGTCCGCAGGTGGAAGCAAAGCAAACCCAAACTCCTTTCAGCTGCTGTGCTACCCTTTCTTCCCTTTTCTCAGGGGGAGGATGATGGCCGCTGGGGAAGGAAAAGAAGAGCTAAGGATCTCCCTGTTTCTCCTTGGGGGCGAGCTTTTGTGCTGACTGAGGGGGACGGCTTTCCCATTGCTGACCCGAAGGTCCTTCCTTCTCCAGTGTTTGCCTGGTGTTCGAGGGGCGCACTTTCCTTTCCCCAGTGTGTCTGTGGTTCCAACTTGCTGGGGTTTTTTTTTGCTTTTTTGATATTTTTTTTTCTTTTTTTTTTTTTTTTTGCATGATCCTGCAGTGGTCTTCACGGTATTGCCCCATCCAACTTTAATTCAGGGTCTCAAAAGTGGAAATAGAGACATAAAATATGTGTGTGTGTGTGTGTGTTAGAACAGGCTTGAACTTTACCACCCCCTCCCACTGTGACGACTTCCCAGTGGGGGAGCAAGTCCCTTGAAAACAACCAGACTTTTGTTTGGAGGTATTAGAGCAATTTCATTTCAGTCCTGTTCATTATTCAGAAATTTTTAAAAAATTTTTTTAAAAAAATTTTTTTAAAAAATATTTACTACTATCTTTACTTTTACTTTTTTGAGGCAGAAACTCACTCTGTCCCCCAGGCTGAAGTGCAGTGGCATGATCTCTGCTCACTGCAGCCCCCGCTTCCCAGGTTCAAGCAATTCTCCTGCCTCAGCTTCCCAGGTAACTGGGACTACAGGTGTGCACCACCATGCCTGGCTAATTTTTGTATTTTTAATAGAGACAGGATTTCTTTATGTTGGCCGGGCTACTCTTGAACTACTGACCTCACATGATCCACCTGCCTCAGCCTCCAAAAGTGCTGGGATTACAGACATGGGTTGCCATGCCAGCCCATTATTTAAAATTTTTTTAAACTCCCTCACAGCTTTTGTACTCAGGTGAGGCTGGAGCCATGGACCTGGCTCTGTGTGTGTGTGTGTGTGTGTGTGTGTGTGTGTGTGTGAGATCCTTGCCCTTCCCATGTTGTCCTAGGCTGGTTTCTCCAAAATGCAAGTCACAAGCCATTACTGGCTCATAACATCAATTTAGAAAGTCACAATCTTTATTTTTTTTAAAGGAGTAGAATGGAATACAAATTACAAAGTACATTCCATGTAATAGAATATGATTTCCTCAAAAAGCTTTCTTCAGGTGTGCGTGTGTGTGTGTGTGTGAAAATAAATGTGATAATAGATGTCAGCTGCCTGGAATTGTGTAAATTGTGTCATAACGTAAAACATTTACTGTGGTTCATGCTTAGAGAAGTTTGAAAGTCATTGTTTTAGCCAGGTATGGTGGACATGCACCTGTGGTCTCTGCTACTTGGGAGGCTGAGGCAGGAGGATCTCTTGAGCTCTAGAGGTCGAGGCTGCAGTGAGCTGTGACTGTGTCATTGCACTCCAGCCTGGGTGACAGAGCAAGACCTTGTCTTTAAAAGAAATGTAAAAGAAAGAAAGTCACTGTTGTCGATGGGGCTTCTTGTTCAGGTAAATGAAGATGGGATGTGGGGAAGGGGAAGGGAGAAGGGGCAGAAAGAGGAATCTTGGGGGACTCCCTGCTGCAGGTTAGTGAAGTATGTCTGCCCCAGCCTTGCCCTGGCCACTTCTGGTCCTTCTGCGGTGGTGCATTTCACTGTAGTGGTGTTGCTGTCATAGCTGGTGTTTGTGTTTAGGAGCTGTGTTCAGTTTCACTTCACTGAGGAGCCACCACATTTCCATTTGGTGCCCCCATGGCACATGCCCCAACCTCTTTTCTTCCTCAGGCCTCTTGTTACCTGGCTTGGTGGCTGCCCATACCCTGCCACGAACATATGTGTTCACATAAGGCCATGGGGACCACTGGGGTCCTCTTTCACAGCCTTTGAGTTTTAATCTTTCTAAAGCCTCCAGCACCCAGTATTCCCAGGCAGTCTCTCATCCAAGTACTAACCAGGCTAGACTTGGACTGCCTTCCTACATCAGATGAGATAGAAAGTATGGCTGCAAACCGCCCTGTTTTTTCTTTCTTTCTTTCTTTCTTTCTTTCTTTTTTTTTTTTAGAGATGAGGTCTTGCTTTGTTGCCTAGACTGGTCTTCAACTCCTGGCCTCAAGCAATTATTGTACCTTGGCCTTCAAAGGGGTGGGATTACAGGTGTAAGCCACTGCTTCTGGCCTGTTTTATTTGTTTATTTTATTTATTTATTTAATGTATACTTCACCTCCATCTCTTATTTTATTAATTTATATTATTATTATTATTATTTTTGGAGACAAGGTCTGGCTCTGTCACCCAGGCTGGAGTGCAATGGCATGATTATGGCTCACTGCAGCCTCAACCTCCTGGGCTCAAGCAATCCTCCTGCTTCAGCATGACAAGTAGTTAGGACTACAAGCATGCACTGCCATGCCAGGCTGTTTATTTATTTATTTATTTTTAAAGAAAAATCTTGCTTTGTTGTCCAACCTGGAGTGCAGTAACAGAACCCTAGCTCACTGCAGCCTTGAACTCCTGTGCTCAAGCCATCCTGCTGCCTCAGCCTACTGAGTAGCTGAGACCACAGGCACACACCACACACCTGACTTTTCATTTTTTTTTTTATAGAAATTGACCAGGCCAGTCTCAAACTCCTGGAGTCAAGTGATCCTCCCACCTTGGTCTTCCAAAGTTTTGTGATTACAGCTGTGACCCACCACACCTAGCCCATCTCTGTCTCTTTAAGCCTATACGTGTGGAGTTACCCCAAAAGGTCTCTTGCCAAGGGAAACCACCACTGGGAAAAGATAGAAGTCTTTCTTCAGATATACCCCTGATATGGTTTGGCTCTGTGTCCCCACCCAAATCTCATCTCGAATTGGAATGTGAACTGTAATCCCCATGTTATGGGGGAGGGACATTGTGGGAGGTGATTAAATCATGGGGGTAGTTTCCCCATGCTATTCTCATAATAGTGAGTTCTCACAAGATATGATGCTTTTATAAGGGGCTTTCCCTCACCTCTGCTTGGCACTTCTCTCTCCTGCCACCATGTGAAGAAGGATGTGTTTACTTCCCCTTCTGCCATGATTCCTGAGGTCTCCACGGCCATGTGGAACTGCGAGTCAGTTCAACCTCTTTTCTTCACAAATTATACAGTCTTGAGTATTTCTTCATAGCCGCATGGGAATTAACAAATACGCGCCCTAAGCATCAGCAACAAGTATTGCATAGCTCCTTTTAATAAGGACAACACACATTGCTTCCAGGCTTCCAGAATATTCTTCAGAATCCTAAGCTCTGCTGGTGAGTGCCTCAAAGTTCTATAGTGCAGCAAGAATCAGGTCGGGACACAAGAAATTACAGTTTTTCCATCTTGCAGGCATTACCCACCCTCCACCCTCAGCCTTTTTATGTAAAATACTTTCTTCTTCTTTTCTCCTTAAAAGAAGGGGCCATTCACATGAACGCTACACTCCCAAAGTCCGAGCACCACTCTCTCTCTTAGCTTTCCAGGAATAAGGGTAGGAGGTAGTGGAACTGGTTGTGAGCTGGCCTCAATAAAACCTACAGGGAGGTGGCCATCCTCAACTTCTGATGTCTCCTTGAACTTGGAGCATGAGATAATTAGGGCCCTCTGTGACCTCAGCTATGGACCTTGGCTGCAATTCCAAGACAACAGGAAAAATAATCCCACTTAATACCATGTTGCACAACCTTTTTATTAGAATGTCTACAATCTTCCATGTACCTTTTTCTTTAGTCATATAATAGTGTATGTTCTTGGCTTCCATTTCTCCCCACTGCAATATTCCTGCCATCTGGGGTCTCTTTTCCTATCACCCTGCAACTTCCCAAAAGCTTCCTCTGAGCTGCTGAATGGGAACGGACCCAAGTCTCCTCTGGGCCCCCTACATTTGGTCTCCTTGGCTATTCCATGTTTTGTTTCATTTTGCCTCACAGTAAAATGAGTGGTTTATCTGTCTGCTCTACCAGACTGTATTTCCTAGAGGATGTGGGTCGCAGTCCAGTTGTCCTTGCATGCTTTGTAGCAGTTTCCATAGAGTAAGTGGTGAAAATGTTCATAGCACATTGAATGGCAAAAAGGAACTTCTTGGTCATCTCCTAGGATGCATTTTCTGTAATTGTCTGGTTGCAATTCAGGATTTTCATTGTGAGCCAACAGCTGCAGGCTCATTTTAAATGCTGGTTCTACAAATCCTCTCAAATAACAATGCCTTATATTGACTTAGATTTCATAACATGTCCTAGGTCACATGGTTTTGTTTAAAACACTTATTTTGTCTTTGAAACAGCCAAGTGCAATTCGATGTGGTAGATGTTACTTTCATTTTTTAGATGAGAAAATGTTCAGAAAGTATAAGTGACTTGCCCAAGGTTCCCTGGATAATGAATCATGGCTTGTGTTCTGTTCCTCTCACCTCTTTGCACAGAGCTCTGACATTCTTCTGTCAAGTCACCTTGCAAGTGTCATGCTTTCTGGGTAAGTAAATGCCATCCAAGTACTTGCCCCGGGTCTTCAGTGGTAAGTTTTGGTCCTGTCCTCAGCTGCTGGTGCCTCACTGAGTATATGACACTAGGCAAGCCATTGACCTGTTTCCACATCTCAGTTCTTTCATCCTGAAAATAAAGATGACAATAGATGCTGGCTGCCTCAAATGGCATGGTGAAGATTAATGAGATGATGCAGAGAAGTGCCCTGAGCTCCTGGGACAAAAGGCTTGGTAAAAGCACAAAGTCTAATTATAATTTTCCAACATTTTCAAAGAACCCTCTGGAAAGGCTAGCTCTTGCTTCTAAATTTAGAGAGGATGCCTGCCTGGGACGGATTGTTTTCTCTTGACTGGCAGCCCCAGCAGCCTCCTGCTTATGCTGGCCTTGATGGCTCTGCTCTGATCCAGTGGCACTCAGTCTACCTGGATTCCATTAACGGTAGAAGGTACAGTCCCCAAAAGTGCCAGCCCCGATCTTCCTTGCCTTTTGCATGGAGCAAGGGTAACCCACTTTGGACAGGCATCAGATGGGGTTCTGTTAGTTTTAGGGAATGTAGATGTAGTTCCTGGTCTAAGGATGGGAATGTGGTATAGATTAGGGAGAATGTAAGAAGTCTGCTTGGACCTTCCAGGAAAAATTTTTTCCTCCCTGATAAGAGGAAGTCACAGAAAACCTTCTAGCCCTATGCTCAGCTTCCTGCCCTTGAACACAGTTTGAGATCTGAACCTTGAAGCTGCTGATGCCATCTTACAAACCCATGGGAAAGCCAAGAGAAAGCCAAGAGAATTGCAGCAACATTGGCCCAAAACCACTGAGTCACTGAAACAGCATGGCATTTCTTGTTTGTGACAAAAACAAATCTTTGCTTACGCCATCGTTCGCATGCTTCTTTTGCTTCATTTGTTCCTTATAGACAGATACCAGTAGCTGAACAGATGGCTGTGTCAATCATGGTGTGGTGGCTCAGGTCCAGGGGGCGTCGCAGATTATCTGACCTGGAATGTTACTGTAAAGGTTTTGGAATGCTGAATTTTACACAGAAAATCTTTGGCTTTGCTCATTTTCTACCCTGCTTTGTTTTCCTTTGGGCTACTCTTTCACCCAGCTACTCATCAAATGATCTATCCTGAATGCAGGAATAAAATCAATACTAGAGCCAGTTTCCAAGTAATAGGGAGGAAAGCTTTGACTTTTCTCTTTCCCATTTCTTTTTAGGATTTATATAAATTTAAGGTGTACAGATACAATTTTGTTTCATGTGTATATTATGTAGTGGCAAAATCTTGGTTTTTAGCGTAGCCATCACCCCAATAATGTACATAGTACCCATCAAGTAATTTCTCATCACTCTCCCCTCTCTTGTCCCTCAACCCTTCTGAGTGTCCACTGTCCATCAGCCCACACTCTTTGTCTATGCGTACACATTATTTAACTCCCACTTATAAGTGAGAACCTGGGGCATTTGATTTTCTGTTTCTGACTTGTATCATTTCTCAGCATTCGGATCCAGATATTCAGAGCCCTCAATGTCCCTGACTCTGTACCTTGTTTGTCGTCTCCATCCAAACCTCTCTCTCTGACCTCTTTGGTCTTCACAGCCCCAACTGTTGCTGGCCTAAGGGGTCAGCTTCCCAGGTAGTATGGCATTTTCACAGAGTGGGGACAAGTTGGCAAATCATGAAGCTAGGCACCCTTCTCTTGCCCTTTTCTGTTCTAGTCTATCCTCTGCTCATAAAAAGTTTTCAAGCATCTAGTGCCTTCTTGGTGTTCAATAGGGTACCATTTTTAATCCCGGGGACTCAGTGGTCTTATCTCTGAAATAGAGATAACGGTATTTTGTCTCCTCGGAGACTGAGGATCCAGTCCTCTAAGCTCTTTGGATTCTTTCTGACTCCGCAGTGTGAACCTAACAGGGTACTTTTAGGGCCCTGTTTGTCCTGTCTCTATGAAAATTATCACTTCGGTTCCCTGATCAATGCTGCGATGGACTTTTTAAAAAGTCCGGATAAGGGAGGTTATCTCCCCCAGGGTGTTTGCATTTTCAGAGATAATCTGTGGGGAAAATGTTGAAAAGTTCAAGACCTTTTCTGAAGCCTAGTGTAGACAGTCAGTTATTCTACCCTTGTGACCAGACCATTCCCGAAATGAGTACATGAACATCCTCAGTCTGGCTTTCAGTTGACTTTCCCTTCTTTCAGACTCGCTGCAGATTAGAGTACCCAGAATTAGCCAAGACCTTCAACATTTAATGACTAGCCACGGAGAGGAAAAAAGAAGATGAACTGCTTGTCCCAGAAAGCGACAGAACTTTGAAAGCAGCTATATATTTCCTAGCTACCTCTAAGAAATGGAACTGTCTTCCTGAGACCTGTAAGAAGCCAACAGGTACCTCAAGATATAATACTTAAAGGAATGGCAAAGTAGCCGATCTAATTAAAACATACCCCAAACATCACAAAGTAGGAAGATGGATGCTGAAAGAGATGCTTTGAGCACCACTGGTTGCCTGTAAGGAGTATGATTTCAAACGGCAAAGTTGACTGGAGAAACTCCCAGGCATTAAGTGGTTTTCGAGAAGATGTTCATTGGCTTTCTCTTTGTTCATGAAACAGAAAACTGTGTTTGGGTTGCATTCCAATACAGAGAGACTTAGTCCCTCTAAGATTGGAATGTGCTGGTTCTTAGGTAATTAGGACTCCTTCCCAGCCCAATCGAGGAAATTGGCTTTGCCTTATGCTTGGAAAGAAAATGGAGTGTACCTGGAATCCAGTAGATATTTCACCTGCCAGTCAACTCATTAAGATTAATAGCAAATTAATAAACAGAAATTCTGTTGAGGGATGTGGCATGTGTACCCAGTCATGGATGACATTACTATGTGCACATGGAGTCTCACTCTTTCAGATCGGTAGGATAGTTTTAGCTTTGACTTTTGCCTCTTAGATCTGAGGTTTCTCATTCTGTCCTCAGTGATTAATGATGTTCTGTTACTTCAGATGCCCCAAACCTGGCTCTGGCAACTGGATATTCATTTGGTTGCCCTGATGTAATCATTGAAGGGAGCTGCGTTAATGGACCGTGGAATAGTTGGCATCCATATGTGGATGGACTGACTTAGATTGACTGTTAAAGTGACCCAGTTTATTGTTTGATAATTGGCCATGAAGTGAGCCAACACTAACATACTTGGTGATTCAGTTATTCTAAATCACTGTTTGGTACGAGATGAGAGAAGAATGGGAATAATGTCTAGTGTTAGTTCTATAATTTTCTTAAATACTTTTGAGGCCCTGCTCTGGGCTGAGTGCTGTTCTAGGTTCTGACAGGGTATTGGAGGAGAGATTAAAAGGTGAACAAGATATTGTTTCTGATCTTGATGCATTTCTATTTGGAGAAAGAAGAGTCCGGGCCTCATATCCTATTTTGCTCAACTCAGGGCAGAGGCTTGAGAAGCATTAAGATTTAAAATGCAGGAACATGTGAGATCATTGCATACAGACTCATTATAAAAATGCCAAACAGCTTGAGAAGCAGTAGAGAGAACATAATTAAAAGACACTGTTTTGCTTTCCCAGGGCTGCTGTAACAAGGGAACACAAATTGGTGGCTTAAAATATCAAGAATTTACTTTCTCACAGTTCTAGATGCCAGAATCCAAAATCAAGGTGTCGGTAGAGTTGATTCCTTCCTGGAGGTTTGGAGAAAGAGTCTGAACATCCCTCTCTCTTGGCTTCTGGTGGTTGCTGGAAATTCTTGGCATTCCTTGGCTTGCAACTGCATAGCTTCAACCTTTACATCAGACGTTACCTGGCCATCGTCCCTCTATGCCTTTCCATCTGTGGCTCTCTTCACGTCTTCTTATAAGGACACCAAGAAATACTGGATTAAAACTACTCGGTATGACCTCAGCTTAACAAACGACATCTGCAATGACCCTATTTCCAAATAAGTTCACATTCTGAAGTTCTGGGAATTTGGGGGTGTGGTGGGGGACACTATTCAACCAAACATTTCACCAACCCACATACCCACAAATGTTAACAAAATCAGCAGGGCAGGAGAGTAAAGAAGTGAAACAATGTACTTCCAAGGAAGAAGCAAAGAGAAGAAAAGTATTGTTTTTCTATTCTCTCTCCTGGGCTTAATACAGGCACCAAAACTTGAAGTAGGACTGAAGCAGAACTAATATGATAAATAATATCAGAGGAAAATGTAGGGGCTTTTATTTATTTATTTTTTTGACAGGGTCTTGCCCAGGAGTGCAGTGGTACAATCTTGGCTCACTGCAGCCTTGACCTCCAGGGCTCAAGGGATCCTCCCACCTCAACTTCCTGAGTAGCTGGAACCACAAGCACGTGCCACCATGCCTGGCTAATATTTAAAATTTTTTTTTTAGATACGAGGTCTCATTATATTGACCAGGCTGGTCTCAAACTCCTGGGCTCAAGAAATCCTCCTGCCTCAACCTCACAAAGTGCTAGGATTGCAGGAGTGAGTCACCACCCTCAGCCCGGGGATATTTTATATTATGAAGTAGATGCAGTTTACTCTTTCCTGATTTTTTGTGGTGTTGGAAGATAAACTGGCTTTGGCTTTACTTTAACTCTGGAGAAATTGTGGAACAGGATGAGAAAGAAAGCCTGGAATAGGTGATTTAGGTTTGCTGTAGGCTTGGGAAAACACAGAAATAGGACCTTTTGGGGTTCATTCTAACATCTCCAGAATAGCTCACTTGGAGACAAGAGGAGTCAGAAATTTAAGACAGACTTTTCTCCTGGAATAATAATGTGCATTTGATTATGTTTCCCCTCAATCTCTGCGACTCCTGAAAATGTTGTGTCCAGAGGGTGAAGAATGCTAAATAGCCAGGCACAAAATATTTACAATACTAGTGAATATGCTGAATTCCGGGAGAGGTATTAACTCTGTACATAAGAACTCTGAAGTGGTAACTGTCTCTGGATCAGAAGGCTTCACGATATGGAGCTGGAAGGCTGAAGCATGTTTTTGATAGTTGGAGATGGGGAAGAAGAACTACAGACTACAGTGCTATTTGATATCTCCAGTCTCAAAAATTTGTGCTGCTAATTTTGAAAAGAAATAGAAGAAAGTGAATTGGTCAATGAAATCCATTCTTATTCATGGGGGAAAAAAAAAAAAACCCCACAACTGGGGAACATGTTTTTTGATGAGGCGTCAGTAGTCATTATCCTATTCATATTGGTCATAGTCATACCATTGATTATTGATATGATTTGGCTGTGTCCCCATCCAAATCTCATCTTGAATTGTAGTTCCCATAATTCCCATACATTGTGGGAGGGACCCGGTGGGAGGTAACTGAATCACGGGGGCAGTTACCTCCATGCTGTTCTTGTGATAGTGAGTGAGTTCTCACAAGATCTGATGATTTTATAAGGGGCTTTCCCTCTTCCTTCACTCCGCAGTTTTCCTTGCTGCCACCATGTGAAGAAGGATGTGTTTGTTTCCCTTCTGCCATGATTGTAAGTTTCCTGAGGCCTCCTCAGCCCTGCACAACTGTGAGTCAATTAAACCTCTTTCCTTTATAAATTACCCAGTCTCAAGTATGTCTTTATTAGCAGTGTGAGAATAGATTAATACAGTTGGTTTCTCTTCTTAAGAGAAGTTAACAATTGATGTTGTTGTATCAGTCAGGATAGGCTAAGTTATGCTGAAGTAACAAATAATTCCAAAATCTTAGTAGCTTAGCACTATAAAAGTTGATGCCTCTGTCATGTGACAGCTTTTATGTCTACTCAGTATAGTCACTCAGAGACCCCAAGCAGCAGAGGCTCCATCCTGGCATAGGGTATAAAGGTCATCATAGCAGGGAGGAGAGAACATAGCAAATCGTGCACTGGCTCTCAGGGATCATGTTCATATTGCATTAGCTAAATGGAGTCACACAGCCATATTTAACTATAAAGAAGTAACAAAATGCAGTCCCACTGTGCACTTGGAAGGAGGATGTCTTAGTCAGTTTGTGCTGTTCTAACAGCACACCATAGACTGGGTGGCTTAAACAATGTTTATTTCTTACAGTCCTGGAGGCAGGGAAGTCTAAGACCAAGGCACCAGCAGATTTGGTTTTTGGTGCAGTCTGTCTTCCTGGCTAGTACTCAGCTGCTGTCTTGCCAAGCGAGTAAACTCTAGCCTCTTTTTCTTTTTATAAGGTCAATAGTCCCATAATGGGGGTTCCACCCTCATGAACTCATTTAAACCTAATTACCTTCCAAAAGGCCCCACCTCCTAATACTATTGCATTGGAAGTTAGGATTTCAACATAGGAATTTATAAACTCAGGAATGCAGTTTATAACAGGAATGCTGGAGTATCTGGGAACAACCCTAATGACTTCCACATCAAGATGCAGATTTCTTGTGCTTTAGAGATTCTACACTTTGGCAACACCATTCTTTTCAGTTCAGGAAAGAGAGGGAGAACTGTCTCCTGCTGTGTGGAACTTTGACCAAACAACTGAATACGATGCTGAGAAGCCTCTTAGAACATGGCCATGGGTAATAGTGCTCTTTGTAATCAAAGACTTAAAATAGAAGGACAAGGGATCTATAGCCATCCTTTGAAGAGTCTTAGGATTAGTATGCAATAATTTAGACTCTCAAGTGTTCTAGTGACCATACAGGCTATAAAAATAATATATTCACTTAAGCTTGCTATTTATGTAGTTTATCCATTTAGACCTTATTAGAAAACTTGGCGAAGGACAGTTGAGTAATACACTTAATGTGCCCCTCAGTTAGATAGCCACGTTTCTCTTATATTAACATTTTTACAACCACTTTTGAGGCAGGAGAGGTATTCAAGGAAGTAACCATGTTCTTGGGATGTAGCAACCTTGGTGATCATACAATCAACAAAACAAATCTCAGCATTCACATTGTAACTGAGCTCATTCAAGCAAAGCTATCTTCAGTAGGGAATGTTCCCCATAGAGGGCATATGCATTTTGATTTTACCTGTCCTCACAGTGACCCTTTGCTCATTATAATAGTGAGAAACACACCCCTTAGGGGAGATTTAAGATGCTAATGAGACATGCAATGTATGAACAAGCATAGACAGGTACTATGCGTGTGCACCCAGAGGACCACCCAGAACATGCTTACTAGTAACACCTCTTCCCGCTTCCTTATGAATAATCATGTAAATTCCCATAAAAGGAGTTTCTCCAGCAATAATCAATGCTGTCTCAGCCTTATGAGCAGCCTACCCTCTATTCTCTCTCTCTCAGGGTGTACTGTCCATTCTGCACCTGACTTTAATTTTTTAATTATTTATTTATTTTGAGATGGAGTCTGGCTCTGTTGCCCAGGCTAAAGTGCAGTGGCGTGATCTTGGCTCACTGCAACCTCTGCCTCCCAGGTTCAAGTGATTCTCCTGCCTCAGCCTTCCGAGTAGCTGGGATTACAGACACATGTCACCATACCTGGCTAATGTTTTGTATTTTCAGTAGAGAAGGGGTTTTGCCATGTGGGCCAGGCTGGTCTCAAACTCCTGACCTCAGGTGATCTGCCCACCTTGGCCTCCCAAAGTGCTGGAATTACAGGCGTGAGCCACTGCACCTAGCCCTGCGCCTAAATTTCAAAATATTTTTTTTTCCTCTGCAGCAAATTGTTCTACACTCTATCTCCTTTGCTGTGTGTCTCTTGTTTAAATTATTTTAAGCTAAGAAGACAAGAACCGAGGTCTCACAACAGCTGTCAGCAGTTTAACTTTGGCTAGGGAGAGCCTATAGAAACTTCTATGCTGTGAGTTTCTATTTCTGCAACCTCAAATTTTGTTTCTTCTCTTTTAGATCAAATGGAGATTCCCATGATTTTCTTTTTCCTCATGGAAAAGTGTTTAGTCAGAAGGGAAACAAACCAATTAAGATAATACTAAAGGATGATCCTTGATAAAGTTATATTTTGGTGGAGCGTTGAGATTCGACAGTGAACTCTAACAGTGAAGATGGCACTTAAATAAAAAGAGAAGAAACAAGTACTAGAAGCCAAAAAACCTTGTGTTATTTTCTTTGAAAAAAGGATGCTCTAGCTAATAATAGCTATAGGGTTTCCACATGTGCTGTGTCGCTGTTGTTGCCTGCAACAAAAGAACAACTTTGAATAATGAACAGTCTAGCTTCACAGCAGGACACTGTTCTACAGGGAGGCCCTCAATTATGGTGTATTTAGTAATTAGAAATATGAGCAAGAATTGACCTTCCAAGTTGCATGTATTATTATTCACTTTACCTGCTCAATGTCACAGTGGGTGCTGTCATGAAGACTGTGACTAAAAACCCTGAGAAAGACTTCTCTGCCAAGTCCCATAAATAATCTGTTTGCCAAATGTGCCTGAGATATATTTGCATATGCTTAGATCCATGTCGGAGTCTGGATGTGGCTTGTGGCCTTGAGTTTACAGAGTATTTGTACCCCATTTGTAGGGAAGGGACATACTGCAAATACAGCAGTATGCCCATGTCCTCCAGAAAGAGACCCCTGATCTTTTGAAAGATAATTAACCTGGGTATATAAGGTCCCTGATAACAAAATCCTACATGATGACATCTACTTTCTTTCTGGGTTTTTTTTTTTTTAAGAGATAAAGTCTCACTCTGTCTCCCAGACTGGAGTGCAGTGGCATGATCTCGGCTCACTGCAACCTCTGCCTCCGGGTTCAAGCCACTTTCCTATCTCAGCCTCCTGAGTAGCTGGGATTACAGGCACCCTTCAACATGCCCAGCTAATTTTTATATTTTTAGTAGAGACAGGGTTTTGCCACATTAGCCAGGCTGGTCTCGAACTCCTGACTTCAGGTGATACACCCGCCTTGGCTCCCAAAGTGCTGGGATTACAGGCATGAACCACCGTGCCTGGCTGACATCTATTTTTTTAAATCTTTACATATTATAGTGAAATCATGCTTTCAGGAAAGAACTGAAGAGTGGAATTTTGAAATAATGATCACTCACTGATTCTCAGAGGATTCATGCTAGTGTCCTTCCCTGGTTTTGCTGTTCACTATTAGGGCCAATCTTCAGTTCTCCAGGGCTTAAGGTTTAGAGGGAGTATCAACAATCAAATGTCAGTAACATTCTCAGAGAGCATTCTATGCATTACTATTATTGGAGGAGTCAATGATATCCATATCCAAGGCGAGTGTTTCACACACAGCCTCCGTTTCCTTTTCTGGTTTCAGGTTTTTGCTCAGCTTA